ATCTACCTAATCTAATCGCTGCTCAGTAATAATCAAGTCTGTTACCAAAGCATTTTCTGCAAGCAGCTGAATTTTAAGATACTAGTAGAAGTTGTATTAAGAAGTGTGTTTACATTTACAACTCTTTGCATTCAGATGCAGGATTGCTTAGAGACCTTTTCCAAGGATCTGTATCTGAGGATAAACTCAGTATCCTTGCTGAGAGGCAGCTTGAAGAGTTGATGCATGCAATGAAATGTAAGTGTATTCACTCGGATTTCTGAAAGGATGTGGTACTATCACTTCCATTGTACTATCACCAGGTTTTTTGTAGTGGAAAAATACGCTGATGACTCTGTAAGTTAACAGTAATTATGTAACTAAAACCCCTATGGCCTCGTAGTCACTAGCTATCAATATGATAGTCTTGAGGCTTTTTGTAGAGAACTGGCCTACTGGCTTAGTCATACTCTGTTTTGGAAAAGTTTTAAATATAGTGTGACTCCATTTTCAGTGATCTTATTGCTGTCACTTTCTTTCTCCCTCCTTTAGTAGCTGTGTGAAAACAGACTGGATGCAGCCCTGAGTTTGTGCTGAAGTCTGCAAATATTTGAAAAGATTTTAACTATTAAAAAACATTGGAGAGTGAATACTTATGCATGTAGGAGAGTATGTAGGAGAGTATGTTTCATTGGTTAAAATGAAATCCAAGCATAATTTTTATGCTGTCTTCAGCCCTTAGTAAACTACTTTGTATATTTTAAGAACTTTAAGAGTGAAAATTTTTTTTTTTCATTTCTGTAGTTAACAAAGTACAAGCTATTGTTTACTGCACTTCTTCAGTTTACCCAGAAGAAAATGAACTAGTGGTGAACAAAGCACTGGAATCTGGAGTGGAAGGAAATAAAGTACAACCATATAGGTATGGAATGAGCAGTTCTATCTATGGAAGAATTTCAAGGATAAAAAAAAGTTGATACTTTCAAGATATTTTTTCTGGTTTTTGCTAAATTGTATTGGTTAAGCATTTATTAGCATTTACTTCAGCTTTTTAAAGTGTAGTTGTGAATGCATTTATCCTGAACACAAGGCTCTTTCTGATCTGTTCCACACTCCACTGGGAGCCTTTCCTTAGGAGGAGGGAAAAATAACTGTTGGGATGGCTTTATGTAGCTGCTGAATGGCAACCACCCCAAACTCTAGTTAGCTCGATCTCCTACAGGTGCTGTATTTGGTATTCAGCATCGCAGACAGGGAATGAAAAAAATCTGTTTCACACATTTTCCTCTGAAAAACAAAATCAAACGGAGTCCTTTTACCTTATAATCAGCTAAACATAATATTTTAAACTTCAACAACTTTCTAGATTTGACATAATATAGCCTCAGATGCTGTCTTTCGTATAACTAGGTCTATCTTTTTGCTGGATGTAGAGAGTGCTAATTTATATAACATAGTTTTGAGCTTGTGTTTGCATATGTGGTTGATCTGTTAATGCCTCATGAGGGCTGACTCCTTCATTCTTAACTCGGAGTGGAAGTAAGAAAATTTTCGAAAGAAACACATTCTGCCTTGTATTTCTGCTTTTCTGCAAGGGGGAAATGTAATCTATGCTGTATCTTGAATGAGCGAAAATATTAATGAATTGTATATACAAAAAATAAAATGCAATAATTAAAAGTTTACCCAAACTGAAAAAGCAAACCTAGTGCTGTAGTCGATTTGGTACAATAAATTTCATATCTTTGTGCAATGAGAAAGATGAGATCAGTTGATGTAAGTTGTACATTGAATCCCAAAGTTATTTATTTGTGGTGTGGCTTCTTCAGGACACAACTCAGAACAGAAGGGACATGAAAGAAAACAGCTTTTAATATTCCAGTAAGTTAGCAAAAACATAGTAATCTTAAATACTTCTGTTACCCTTTTGTAAGCGGACATACTTCAAATTGTAGCATAATTCTTATCCTAGAATTATCTGTCTTGCATTCCATTAACATTTAAAATAGTTTGCTGCTGCTTGTCATTCCTTTTGATTATATGAGAGCACTAAGTAGTATCCTCTTTACTTTTTCATCTAATCTTTTTGTTCCCATCTGAACCAGGGATGAGGGGAAAGCACCACTGATTGATAGGGAATAACGTGATGGTAAGCTTCTGATACAAAACTACTGCTTTCACACCGGCAGTAGTTTTTAAAAGAGAATGAAGCTAGTTTAAGATAAAATGGAAACTAGAAGCCAGGAAACTTGCTATTATGCTCTCAGCTTCTAACCTAGAGTAACCAGTTCCAAAGGAAAAAGAAATCAAGTCTTAAAAGTACGAGAATAATATAGAAGAAAAGAAACCTCTGCTGCAGGATTGCTAGCCCCTGCATTCAGATTAATGACTTTGGGAGGACAGATTAAAGTAACGGAAGAGCTTATGTAATCATGACAGTTCTATATGAAAAATATATGTATGTGAAAATAAAAATAGCAAATTACACAGTATTCTCTTTAAAGTTGCCTCCAGTGAAAAATGGGATGAAACAGTTGGTCCTGGCTTGTACGTAGATATAGAAGTTCATTACAAGATGCAGGTGAAGAGAGTGTATGTTGCCAAAAGCACAGGAGAATAATACTGTATGTTTAGATTGAGCGTTATCTTTGATAATGTTAATGACCTGGCCATCCTGAGGAAAAGGACTGTGTTAATGTTTTCTTTAAAAAAAAAAGGGGGAGGGGGAGGGGTATAATTCAGTGCATTTAAATTTCTTAGGATTAAAATGGTAAATGCTAACTATGGCCAAGTCTAAAAACTTTAAAAAAGGAGGAGTTACGCATAATCGTAAGAATCGGTAAAGCATACTACATCTTTCTTGCAAATCACTGATGGAAAAGAGCAATCTGCCAGAAATTTTGAGCTAGCTGTGATAAAATCAGGGCAAGTCTTGCTAGTGACACAGTGCTAGTCCAAAAGTGTCTGTGGACTCCTACTGTCACCTGTGTTTTCCTTTGGGATTTGAAATTCTGTGAAGTCTGTCGTTTCTTGACCTCTGTGCAGCTGTTAGTGCATGGGTAGAACCAGAGGGCCCTTGAAACATAACGGTTTATGATTTATTTGGACATAAATAGTACAGAAATTCATCATTTACGTAACAGCATTTATTTAAAAAAAAAAAAAAAAAAAAAGAGTCTTTTCAGGAGCTTCCCCCTGCCCCAAAAATCCTCCACAAAAAGTTTCCCAGTCCAAGACTGATTGAACTTCAAAAAATGATGATTCCAGAATCAGTTCTTCCTTCATTGACATGCGTCTTGGATGTTTTTGTGCATAGTCTTGCTGTAATAAAGCTGCTGATAACCAGTGTAAACAGCGCAGTAATAGAATACCATAAATAAATAAAATATATTAGTGAGCTTATGCTTGTCTAAGATGAAAGCTCAAGCCTGTTAGGCTACATGTATTACTCGTGACTATGCATTATGCTCTTTCCTTAGGATTATTCAAGTAATTAATTTGACTAAAAGAATACAGGATAGAAGGAAAAACTATGTTACAGAATTCCTGGCCTCTGTGAGGGAAGGACAGGTTAGGGTAGTAGAACATCCTGCGTGATCGTCATAGCGCTACGTAGTATTAATTGCCTCTTCCAAGAAAACGGAGGGCTTTCAGGAAACTGATAGGCCACTCGGGCCGCTTGGGCTTAGCCCCTCTGTATTATATCTGTTGGACTTATTCTGTGTTGTTGGAGTAGTGCTGAACA